TATTTATTTTAAAAAAATAAATTTTTTTAAAAAAAAATTTAAGTAAATTAATAAAACTGCTGTTCAATGATTAATAATGTGAAAATATTTTTGGAAATAGTAAAATTATATTTGTATAATGAAATCAGTAATCATCTACTATAACAAATTATTCGTTATACATACCGCATAATTCGTTATAGCGTTAACGAAGATTCTTATAATGAAGTCCTGATCGGCTGAATCAGCAACTTCGTTATATCGAGGTGTGACTGTACATGCAATACATACTGGTGGATGTGAGGCTAAAAGAGCTAACTTAGACGTAGTAAAGGGACTCAAAGCTGAACTGTTACTGGCAAAAGGATCACGCGTTATATTAACAGTAAATTTATGGATCGAAGCCAGATTAGTAAACAGAGCAATAGGAACAATTGAAGATATTCTGTTTGGGGAACAGGGGTCACTTTCACTTCCTGTAGCAGTTTTCATAAGATTCGATATATACGAAGGAGCTACTATCACAACCTTAGAAGGGGAAAAAGTTGTATCGATCATACCAGTAAAATGTATCTGGGAAGATAAAAATGATACAGCATATTCTCGGCTTCAGGTACCTATATGCCTCGCGTGGGCTATTATAGTACATAAGAGTCAGGGACTAACAATAACAAAGGCGAAAATAAACTTTGGAAACAAAGAATTTGCAGTATGTCTTTCATTTATTGCAGTGTCACAAGTTCAGTCACTTAACGATATATGCTTTAAACAGTTCACACTCGACAGGCTTCAGTGTATCAAGAACTGTAAAAGGTTACAAAAAAGAAAGGAAGAAGAAGCATACCTGCTTACTATGATACCTCACGAATGATACAATAAAAGTTTATTTTTAGTTACATGAAAAATTTTTTTTTTTATGTTTCGTTATACACAATTCAATTTTTATTCATTTTGGCTAAAGAAGAACTAAAGAAAAAACTAAAGAAAAAAAAATAATAAAATAAAGAACAAAAAAAGTTTTTTTTTTATTTTTCGACATAATAACAAAATCACAAAATCTAGATCAATAAAAACATCAGGGTTAAAAAATGCATAGACGATTGCTTCTTTCAGAGGAATACAGAATTCTGTGGGTAATGTGACGAACCAATTAGCATCGACTCGATCTGTGAGTAGGCAGACATCAGAACATTTCTGTATCACCTTGCATAGACATATATAGTCTAGAACGAAGTGAAGAACTAATAAAAAAAAATTAAAAATTAATATATATAAATACCAATATAGTAGTATTTTTTTGATTAAATATCAAAAAGTTTTGAAACATTTTAATTAAAATGACTTTATATAATAATCCTAAAAAACTAAAAATTTATTAAATTATAAGAAATAATTATTAAATATAGATTTATAATATGGGAGGTGGATCAATAGAAAAGGGAAATTTTGAGCAATTTTAGTTATTAAACTAGTTTTGTTTACATGATCATGATCAGAGTGAACCAATAAAAAATTTTTAACTAAAAAGTAGATTTCCTTCTTTTTTACTGACTGCCTCCCATATATTATATAAAATTAATTAATTTTTAATTTTTATTATATTAATAATATTAAAATCTATTAATATAATTTGAATAAATTTTAATTATTAGAATTATTATATAAAAAATTTTAATTTTAAAATTAAATATAATTTAAACAAAAAAGTAATAAAATTTTTTATTTTTATTAGAAATTTTAATCATAATAATTTTTTTTTAAAAAAAATAATCCAAGTATTATTATAAAAGAAATGCAATTAATTAATCATTTTAAAATAAAAATAAGATTATTAAATAAAATTAAGTTATCTAAATAATAAAAGATAAAATTTTATTAAAATTTTATTATAAAAATTGCAAAATCAAAGATATTAATTAAATATTTTAAAAATTATTACAAAAATATAATTAATTAATCATTTTAAAATTATAAACATTAATTATTATAAAAAATAATTAAAATATTATAAAAATATAATAAATTAAACATTTTAAAGCTAAGAATATATCAAAATCAGCTGATTTAAAAGAAAATATGATTAGTCTTTATATTAAATAATTATAATAATATGTTATATTTTTTATAAAATAATTGATTAGTTTAATTTACTAAAATATAATAGTCATATTTATTTTCAATTATTTGCATTTTTTAGTAATTGCATTAAACTAATAGAATTATTTATTTATATTTAATCTAAAAATGTTAGTCTAAAAATTTATATAAAGTATTAATCATTTTAAATCATTAAATATAAATATTTTTATTCAAAAAACTTAATTTCTATTTTATATAATTTTATTATAATATAATTAAAGTTTTAAATTTAACCTATTAAGTTAAATGATTTAATAGATTAACTTGAATTTTTTAATTAAAAATTCAAAATTTAATATTTAATAATTATAAAATTATTACATATTTTGCTTTAAATTACATTTTTAGTAAAATTAAAGTTTAAATTAAATAAAATAAATACATAATTTATTTCTATCTTATTAATTTATATTTGAGGTTTTTTAATAGCTTTTAATTCTGATATTTAAAGTATATATTTATAATTATAGTTACTTATAAACTTAGAGATTAAAAAGTATTTATACATATATTATAATACATATTTTAATATAATTCTCATAAAATTAAAAGTAATAATCATTTTATTATAATACTAGAAAATGAAAACTATTGTTAAGTCTAAAATGGTCTTAACTAAAAAAATATTGCAAAAGCTAATCAGTATCAATTTAAGCTGTAAGTCGGCAAATATTAAGATACTTTTATATCACATTATCTAGTCTTATATAGTTCTTTGCTTCACTTTGAACTAGTTAAAAAGAATAAATTAATTATGAAGTAATTATCTTATAGTTAAAGAAAAAAGTTATTATTCTCATTCAAAAAATGTCAGTATCTAAAACTTTATATTTATTATAATAATTAATATTTTTGTATTTTTTTTATATTTAATAAATTTATATATGATTTTTAATTCATTTCATAATATATAAGATTTAAGAGCATTAAACAGATATCTCTTTTAATATATATATTTTATTATTATAGATTTTTTAGTATGTCATCTCTTTTTTAAATATTACATAGTTTTTTTAAAATATTTAAATTTTGTTATCAGTCATGAAACATGTCCCTCTTGACGATCTTGATAGTAATTAATTTTTGTATAATATATAATGCTATGACTTTCTTGTATAAATGCTTCGATTAGTTTATTGCAAATGACATTTTAACCTTAGACAAGTTTTATTCTTCAAATTTTATATTTTTATTTTATATTAAAAATATACTTGTTGCTTAACTTTATATCAAGTAAAACTTAACTTGAAAAATGCTATTTTTTAATGTAAATTTCAAGATTCTCTTTCAAGTACTAATTTTAAGCTAGCTTTTTTTAAAAGGATCGTAAATAAAGAGCATTTTAAAAGATATTATTAATATAAAGGTACTTTACTTGTGACTTTTAGATGTTTACTTATAAACATTGTAATATTGGGATAATAAAGAAAAATTCAGATATGTATTCTAATGTATTATTGAAGTATAATTAGTATAATTGTTTATAATACATTTATTATTTATCATTATATGCAAGTACCAGTCTAATATTACTTAATTTTATTTTTGAACCTTGTGGCAGTTATTTCTTAAATACTGTTTAACTCTTTCAGCTGTCCAGTCTAAAAAAATAGTTTGAAGCTCTGACAATACTTTTAATATTGCAGTTTCAGGTAGTTTTTCTTCAAATTCAAATAATTGGTCAAGTATAGCTTTTTTTGCATTTGTAGTAATGCGACATAACTTTCTTGGATGGCTAATATCAGAGGATAATGATGTCTGTTGCGATGAAGATGAAGTATTCTGTTGAACAATCGATAGACGAATAGGGTTGTCTATTTTATTTTTTTATTTTTTCATACCCTCAAGTTGAGCGTAAGTGTAATGATTTACATTTTGAGTACAATATCCAGCAGTTACTCAGGATTCAGTTTTGTATACATCTTGCATAAGAATTTGTTGAAAGCGTGATTTGCCAGATTCATAAAAAGAAAGAATATTATTAATACCCTTTTCATTAACTTCTGATGCATTTTCAAACAGATAGTGTGTTGCAGGATTTGGATGATCAAATGCAGATAATAATTTCGTAACCAAGGACCAGAGTGAATCTTTGCGTGATTTGATTGCACGAGCATTCTGACTCATCACAATATTATCAGTGTATTCTGTAAGAAGCATTGATAAACGATTACGTTCACTTTAGGCTGCTTTAATCTTCAACATCATAGTTGGTTGATCGGTAAGATTTCCAGTAATATTTTGTTTTATAAACTTTATGTCATATGTTTCAAGTGCTTCATCAAAACCTAAATAATGTTTTTCACTTGCAAGGTTTACTGAACATACCATTTGTAATAATTTTTGTAGTTGTGGATCATCATGAACTTGAGCTAAAAAATATGTTACGGAACTTGCGTACTTAAATTTTCTAGTTGCAGAAAAGAGAGGTGCAAATGCTGCTAAATTTGACATCTGCATTTTATAATTTCCTCTTCTAATTCCAATTTTATGACCTATAAAATATCCTGTCCAACAGAAAAAAAGATACCATACCTTTATGAATTGATTATTGCCCTTCAAAATATCATTTATAGTTTCTCCTTTGTTTTTTACATGTTGACATAATGCAATTCCAACTGCGATCCAAATTAATTCCAATACACAATATGTTGCACAGTAATCTATAATGCGTTCAAATTTATCTAAATATCGTACACCAAGGGTTGCTGCAAGGTTGAATATTCTATATCCCGAAAATATTGTAATCAAAGTGCTACACATATCTTTAGATGTGTGCCACTGTCCTAAAAGAAGTTGAACATCCTCATGAGTTTCTTTATAAGAGATTAATCTCCTAAAAATTGCTTGATCACATGCAATATATAGATAGCTATCACTATCACGAGGTAAATCATTATGGTACATTTCACATGCTGCATGAATATTTTCATTACAATTAGGTGTGTCACTGGGTTCCAATATCACAACATTTCGTGGTAGAGTGTTGCAATTTATAGGTATTTGCTTAATAATTTCTGAATATATATCTTCTATATCAAATTCATTTATACGAGTCTCTAACATTATATTCAAAATATTCTCATACATCATTAAAAGGTTATCGGTAGTTGAAGATATTCTAAATAGTAGTTGATTAATAGATTCATAGTCTTCAATTAAATTATCAGAGGAGGTTGGAATTGTAAATTGAAACAACATTCGTAATATTACATGTGAAGTTTGTCATGTAACATCAAAAATATTGCTATATGAGAATGTAGAAGCTTTGAAATCAATATTATCAATTACTGCTAAATTCCAAATATTTGATTCTTTAATTAAATTTTCTTTAGGATCTGTATGATGCATCCTAAAATGTTCAAGATGATTTTCATACCTTTTAGTATAAGATATAATACATGCTGAACGAAGAATCTCTCATAAGTATGGTAGCAATTTTGGTTTTTGACATAATGATGATATAATATGTGAAAGTCATATCTTTATTCCAGAAAAAGCAATAGTTAGTATTAAGAAAGTTAATAAAGTGGTAGTTTTTGATATTTGATTTGTATTAAATAATTTCAGAGGAAGTCCACATTAAAGTCTTTTCTTATTAACAACATTTTATTTTTGTTATTGTAGTACTGTAATGAAAGCTTGAAAGAAATTGCAAATAGTTTTGGATAATGTATCAAAATAGTTTTCATATGAGTTTGGATTTTCTAATTGGTTAATATTTTGTTGAATTTTAGAACGCGAAAATAAAACCTCTTTTCCTAATTCTTCTCCTATTATCAAAGCCTTTTCTAGAGTTATGATATGAGACTTTTCTTTTGTTAATTTATTTGATTCAACTTTCCCAATTTTTAATATTGTTTTAACAAGTAACTTGCTCAGAAGTTTTGCTACTTCCATTTCTGATAGATTTTTTCCATTATTTCTTTATTAAAAATAGCTAATGTAAGGGCTATTAGAGATAGGAGTTTTTTTTGTAATATATTATCATCTGATTCTGCTACTGATATTATCTAATTTCTGATATGCCTTAAAGCATCACTTGTATCATTACAATGTTTCTCACATTTGATACATGATACATATTTCTGACTTTTGCCTGGTCTTTCATACAAATGTCTGCCTTGTTATTGAAAGCATTTCGAGCAAATATAGTGTGCACGATAGCCTGAAGATGATTTTTTTATAATTGATCCTTCAGTAAATGCAAGATAGTTATGAATACCAATACAAAGTACTTGGATATTACGTTTATTAATACTCCATGAATGCTTTTTACAGCTGTTACTACGACTAAAGAAACATTTTTTTTTATTACAGAAAATACAGAAGTGAAAATGGATAATGCTTTGTTCAATTAAACACGATTGTTTCATGCCTTTATTATGAAGTTGATTCTGATCAAAGAGAAAAATAATAGTAGCATACTCCAAGCTGATTTAGATTATTTTTAACATCTTCGACTGCATTTGTATCTATCTCCCATGTTCCTATCAATTGTTCCAGTCGTCGTAAGTTTGCTATACCATTACAACGTTTTATTTCACCTTGAATAATATTTACAACTACACATGACGTTAGGTTTAGATTTTGCACAGAGATTCTTTCAATTTCTATATCTATGTCATTATTAATTGTTTGAAAGAAATTAATATAGTCAGAATTTTCAGGTTCTTCAAGTTCAATCTCAACCTCACTCCAATCCATATCATTATTTTCATCATTATCTAGTAGGGCTCGAGCACTTGCAAGGGCAATTTGATCAATATCATCATCACTTTTTTCTTCGAGAGTGTTAGTGTTATATTTCTCAAAATCTATAGAAGTGAATTCCAAGTCACTCATTATTATTTGCGAAAACTTGATTGGAATATTTATACCAAAGGTGTTTTATGATAGATTTATGAATTTATAACAAACATAACAGATAATACAAGAAAGAAGAGTTTAGAAGAGAATCGGCATTTTTATTTATTAATACTTGAGGAACTCAACTACCTTAGGGGCAAGCAAAAAGCTAAGTCTATTTATACTATTTAAAATTATCTATTTGTTTCCAGGTCAACGGTCTTCTTGACATTAACAGTTAATTGTTAAAATATCAATGATAGGGCGAAGCTGATCTGAAAGTTGCCGAAATGATGCAAAATGTAACAATATCCAAATTGTTGAATATAAGGTTCGAATGTCAACAATATCAGATTGTAATAGATTCAGTTTAGTAATCAATTATTCATAGCACAGTCCGTAATATATATACAATAAAAGCAAGTCTGATTTACATTTTATTATTAATTATGAGATTTATTTATCTTTATTTTTATTTATTTTATATATTACATTATCAACT